GCCCTGGATGTTTGCTTTCTTTTTTTTTTCTTTTTACCTCGCGGCGTTTCTGCCGCCCGTTGTCGCAAGGATTTGGCGGCGCGCTCTTGTTTAGCGCTCGTTCTGTGACAGCCGGACTCGGATACTTTCGTCTCCATCGAAATTGCAGCCGTCCCAGCCGGGGTTGATTGCGCGACCTTCGGCTATGTACACGAGTTTGTTTTCACACACGCACGCGCGCACACACGCGCACACACACACGCACGCACACGCACGCACGCGCACGCACACACACGCACACACACGCACACACACAAAATAACCAGTGTGCCACGTGACTACTCGTTCAATGCTGTAAAACAAGAAAAGCATTTTTTAGAGTACATAAAGGTCATGTCTGAAAACGCATTGCTTAAAGTCGAAACACCACAAAGTGAAGGCTCATGCTTCAGGTGAAGACTGCGGCTAGAAATTACGAGTCGTCGTAGAAAGACTGTCATTGTGTGAAGTGCTGACAAGTTTCCATTAGCGGAATTGTCTTCCTTCAAGCCAAGACGAATACAAGTCCAATTGGCTCTGAGCTCGATTGCTGTAGTCACAATTCGTCTGAGAATACTTCTCGCCACGTGATTTAGTGCTTGTGCATTGACTGCAACAGAAAACCGTTTCCTTAATTTCTAACCCATTGTCTCGCTGTTATGTGTATGTCCTCGAGCTGCCCGAGACCAAATAAGAGGTAGATTTCACAGCCTATATCAAGACATATCGTAATACAAACATGCAGGCAGAATTTTTTATCTGTAGAACATGTTTATCACGTTCGAGGCGCGTTGTAGATGCAAATATGGAATCGTTATTTGACTCGTTCGGTGGCAACTACGCGATGATTGTTTCGGGTACCTCTTTGTCATCTTCTGCAGATGTGGCTGCCGTAGCTGGGATCGAACCTGCGACCTTCGGGCCAGAAGCCGAGGACCATTATACCGCTACACCAACGCGGGGGACTAAGTAAGTTTTGTTCCGTAAAGTAACTATATTATATATCTATAGTGTTCGTCGTTTCCTATTTTCAGAACAACGAAATTCTCAAACGAACGAACAGAAATAGCTTCTCCGGGAATTCCGTTAATGAGTGGTTCGACATGATAGCGACAACATCGTGTTACCAGAGTAGATTGCTGCAAGTCTTGTATACTGTCGTGCTTCCGCCTTTAGTGTCCGCGACGAGATTACGTAGCACAGGATGACAGAAGAGTGCACGCGTTCTGTGCGTGCTAAGCAAGACCAGACAGAGGCCTGGACTGAGCCGTAATTGCGATTTTTATGTGGCAAAGAAGCTGCGGACTTTTTTGTTTTACGCTTGTACATGAGCACCTTGCAAGCCATCATGCATCGAAGGCCGTGATGTAATCCCCCCCTTCCCCCCACAGCTTCTAACTTTGGGGCTTCTATGTATTACCAATCTGGTACACAATTTTCTGTAAGGTAATATTGTTGATGTTGAATTTGAACTTCATGCGGGAGATAGATATCGCCAAGTGCTTTTTTTTCTTTTTTCCTGTAGGAATTTTGATGCTTCCGAGAAGAATTTCTCCCCTCGCGTTCGACTGTGGCTCAATTTAGGCCGAACATGCAACGTGAGCCTCGAAAACCTGGGAATGGGGAGAATTTGTTTGTCGCCGTGAAACTTACAGTATTTGTTTCATTCTGCTCTCTCTGCAAAAGAAGTAGAGGCTGAAGAGTGGGTAAATGCTATTACATGGCATTTCGAATTGAACCAGTGGCATCAAAGCATTCAGCATATGCAGGTCCCCACCATGTAGAAACATTTGGTGAATCCAAAATCATCGTTACAATAATAAATTCATCTGCAATAAATCTGACCGTAGTACACATTAGCGATAATGTGTTACACGTTAAAAGGAAGTTTTTGGCAGCTATAGAAAAGTGTGGGGCACATGTCACAAGTTTATGCTTTAAATAGACAAAAAATTTTTTTAACTCGCAGACAGTACAACTCACCAATCGCGCATATAAAAACAGTTGCAGCGTGTGTTTAGGAAAGCGGTTAACAATTTAGAACACTTGGTACTCTACTATGGGAGAGCTTAAAGCCGTGTTCTGGGCCTCAGCATGTGATTGCCGTGCGTAACTAAAGAACAAAAAGAAGCGCAAAATGGGCAATACATTTTCAAATGTTGGTGCATTGAGTAAAACATAAAATTCACTATTTTGCACAAGTGCAAACTCATCTTGCAAAAGCGTTGCTCTCTTACTAAATAACCTGAAAGCAAAAATATACCTTTTGTCATATAAGCGAATTATGTGTTATAAGGTATTTAAAATTAATATTACCTGTCCGACTCACTTTTTCAAGGTACTTACATTAAGTAATTAATCAAAACAACGGCCACAGACGGGACATGAAACAACTAGCTGTATTTTGCAGCGTTTAGACAGTTGTGATGATCAATGCAAACCTCATGCTCAATTATTAATTTTGCCATATTAGGTAGACTGCTTTATTTTTTAATAGGTAGAACCGCAAGCTGTATTGACGGCCAACCGCGTGGTGGGAAGCCCCTCTAGAACTATCCAATCGTTTAGAGTATAATGGTTGATAACGTAGTCGAAATTTCGACGAAAGCTCTGGTCTGGTATTATGATGAGGATGTAGATGCGATTTCTGACCAAGTCAAGGTGACAAAAAGGTAAGAAAACACGGAGACGTTTCAGGACCCATACGGGTTCATCTTGCACTGACCAAGTCAAGGCGAAAAAGCACAGAGGGGTTCCCAGACTCATGAGGGTTGATTAAAGGCGAAATCATTTCTCGGTGATCTTCGGCGAATTTTGCCTGAATCTATCTATCTAACCGCCCACAACAAGTAGCTACTCTCTTGGTCGCTTTGATAATAGGATATTTACCGAAATAGGTATGGCTTAGCATGATTGAATGAAGAACATAGGTGACTAGTTATAACATAAAAATCATATTATGTATGTCATGAATGTCATGATTTACATGTCATGGTTTTGCTTCTCTTGCGGTTTTCGTTCACATGACATATAGCAAAACTGGTCTGGTATGACATGACTGCATAAGTCACACGCCCCAACATGGAGTTCATGACATGCATGCCATGACCTTCACGTTAGGGCCTGTCACGTATGTTCGCCGTTCAATTTTTCGGTTTGCTGCCATCACATTTTTTGTTTAACAATTATTATTGCTGCTTTGTTCGCCTGATGGATTAGACCGGTCAGAGTTATATTCTCATCACAATAACATGAAACTAGGCGTGTCAGTGTTATATTCTCCTCACAATAACATGAAACTAGGTGTATCAGAGTCGAGCATTTCCGAGTGAAAGACACGAGAGACGTTCGCTGATATTTCGCAGATGTCAAAAGAAGGCTTGCCTATGAATATTATGAAAACAAAACTTCCAGCTTCTTGCAAGCTATAATGATACAACTAAGGTAGTTGTTGGGAACACAAAAAGCCACACACATATAGGCAACGGCAAAGTGTGCGTGCTAAACAATGCGAGAGTAAAGTGAGAGACCACGTGGCATATCCGTGTTTACATTTGTGCGCGGCTCTGAATTATGTACGATTGCAGCCGCCATGAACCAAAGACATGTATAGTCACGTTTTCTCCAGGACGCCACTCTCACCGTGTATTGTAAACAAAGAGCGCCGTATACGGCCCTCCTCCTCGGAAATGCCGCCTCCATCGGAACAGTCTGCTCGAGGCTCTATAACTACGAGCAGTTCAATAAAGTTTCTCTCTCGCCCTCTGATACTTCGTTCTTGATATACAACAGTTTTGGAGACGAGGATGGGATCTCTGATGGAATCACAAGACAAGTGTCAACGACATCTTGTGGTGGTGAAACTGAACTGATCAATCATGGCTACATCAGCAGACCGTATAGCAGCATCAGGAGATGGCAGTGTTGTTACAATGCCAGTTGCAAGGCTTGCTGAGTTCAGTCCCGACATTGGAAACATCGAAGTCTACATCGAAAGATTCGAGGTATTCGCAAGCGCTAACAACATCGACGAGCCGAATAAGGCCCAAGTGTTCTTAACAGTCCTAAGTGAAAAAGCTACGTGACACTTCAAAGCCTTCTGCTGTCTCAGAGTCCTGCCGAGTCCAAGTATGCTGATATCAGGAAAGTGCTGAGCGAGCACTTTGCACCACGGAGATCCATAGTCACAGAACGGTACAGGTTTCATCGCGGGGATCAAGGCCAAATTGAGACAATTGGCGAATTTGTCGTCGAGCTCAAGAAGCTAGCGGCTACATGCGAGTTCGGCAGCTTCCTTGAAGAAAGTCTTCGAGATCGGCTAATCTCGGGTCTTCGCAGCGAGGACATCCGATGCCGTCTGCTGTCGTCACCGAACAAAGAGGCGACATGGGAACGAGTTCTAAACAACGCCATCGCCATGAAAACCACCTAGAACGACACCAAGGAAATTCTCCCGGCTCCTTCAGTCGTCAAGTGGCAGAACAAGCCGACTTCTAAAAGGAAGCCAATGAGGAAAAGCAAAACAGGTGACCACAAAGGGGACCGCCACTTGGAAACCTGGTAAGACGCGGCAAGGACTTTCTCATGACGGACAAGGAAAATGTTCAAGTGTGGCAATGAACATTTTGCTAGGGCATGTCCATTTTTGCAGAGTCAATGTTTCAAATGTTCAATAAAGGGCCATGTTGCTACAATGTGTGGAACTAAACAAATGCATAGCATTGGCCAAAGCACAACACGAGCGAAACTATTGGGGCATAACCAGAGAGATAGGCCAACCTCTCCTTAAGTAGTAAAGCTGCGCATCAATGGCAAAGAAGTTCCAATGGAACTTGATACAGGATCAGCAGTGTCTCTGATGTCGGAAAGTGAATTCGAAAAATGTTTTCCCTATGCTGAGTGGTCCGCCACTGATGTGCGCTTGGTCGCATACAACGGAACACCTGTAAATGTTAAGGGTTCCGCACAAGTTGATGTGAGCTATGACACACGGTGCCATGAACTGCCGGCCCCACCACGGCGGTCTAGCGGCTAAGGTGAGTGCTGACCCGCAGGTCACGCGATTGAATCCCGGCTGTGGCGGCTGCATTTCCGATGGAGGCGGAAATGATGCAGGCCCGTGTGCTTAGATTTGGGTGCACGTTGAAGAACCCCAGGACGGACAAAATTTCCGGAGCCCTCCAGTACGGCGTCTCTCATAATCATATGGTGGTTTTGGGAAGTTAAACCCCACATATCATCAATCATGAGCTGTCACTTGTAATAGTCAAGCGTGAATTGGGCGTGAGAATGCCGACACTTTTTGGGCGGAACTTGTTGCCAAAAATGCAGTTAGATTGGTAAGAAGTCGTACCTGAGTACAACACTCAGACAGAAAATTCTCTCCTGAAAAAGTACCATGAAGTGTTTGCAAAAGGATACGGAACAATCAAGGGCTTCAGTGAGAGCATTGTTCTGGAAGAGAATGTGTCACTCCTTTTCTGTAAGGCTAGACCAGTTCCATACGCCGTGTTGGAGTAAGTTCAAAAAGAATTACATGACTTTGAGAGAGCTGACATCGTATATCTAGTCAAGCACAGTCAATGGGCAACCTCTCTTGTGATAGTGCCAAAGAAAGACAATTCTGCTAGGATGTGTGGTGCACTACATAATTACTGCAAACACACGTATAGAGGTGGATCAGTACCCACTGCCTTTTCCGGAGGACATCTTTTCATATAGTAGGAGGCACAAATGTCACACTTCTAGATCTCTCTAAGGCTTACCTGCAACTTCAACTTGATGAACCTGCCCAAGAACTATTGACAGTGAACACTCATTTGGGTCTTTTTAGATTTAAAAGACTGCCGTGCGAAGTAGCAGGCGCTCCAGTGATATTTCGAGCAGTAATGGATCAGATTTTACGTGGAATTCCTAGCACTGCGTGCTACATAGAGGATGTCCTTATTTCAGAAAAAGATAAGCAAGAGTGCTACGAAAGAACCGAAAGAGTGCTTAAGAAGCTACAGGATCACGAAATCCGCGTTAATACGGGAAAATGCTCGTTCTTTCAAAGCAACGTGTCCTATCTGGGACATGTAATTGACAAGAATGGGTTGCACCCAGCAACAGACAAGGTGGAAGCAATCATGCACGCTCCTGAGCCAAAGTATGTTACACAACTCAAAGCACTTCTTGGCTTCATTAACTTCTATGCGAAGTTCATGCCAAATCTTACAACTCTACTTGAGCCATTACACAACTTGCTACGCAAAGAAAGTGCATGGAAATGGTCAAGTCAGTGTGACAAGTGTTTCAGAGAATGCAAATAATTCTTGTGTAATAAGCAGCTATTAGAGATTTATGATGTTAGAAGAGATTTCCGTCTGACATGTGATGCATCTGCACAAGGCTTAGGGGCAGTGCTGTCTCATGTGGTGGAAGTTAATGAAAAACCTGTTGCCTTTGCATCTCGATCAATGACCCGAAGTGAGCGAAATCACGTGCAAATCGAGAATGAGTGACTTGCCTTTATTTTTGGAATCAAGAAATTTCACAAGTACTTGTATGGTCACAAGTTTGAAATTTTCACGGATCACCAGCCACTCACTGCTTTTTTTTTTACCCTCACCGTCCAGCAAACTCTTGGATGCTGCGCGAGTGCACCGTTGGTTACACGTACTGCCAAATTACCGGTACCAGGTCACGTACAAGGCAGGACGTAGAATTGGCAGCGCTGATGGTTTGTCGAGGCTCCCCCTGCCTGAAACTACTGAAGAGTCTGAAGGCATCTTATATTTTGCACCTATACAAGACCTTCCTGTCACAGTTTAGGAGGTTGAGCTAGAGACAGGCAGAGATGAAGTCCTCCGCGTTGTACTGGGAATTCACATGGAGCGGTTAGCCAAAGTTTCTGGCTAGCTAAAGCCGTACTTTGTAAGGAAGTTAGAAATGAGCGTATACACTTGGGTTGTTTAGTGTGGAATAACAGAGTTGTGATTCTCGCTGCACTTCAAAGTGACGTTCTTGGATTGCTGCGAGAACAGCATATAGGTGTCACTAAGATGAAAGCAATCGCGAGATCAATGGTCTGGTGGCCTGCTACTGATTGCACTATTGCGGAAATCACTAGAAAGTTTGATATTTGCCAGAGTGTTGCTTCATTCGGGCAGCCCATTATATTGCAACCATGGAGATGGTGTGAGAATGCGTGTGAGAGAATACACTTAGATTTTGCAGAAAAAACAAGGCAGATCATTTCTCCTTGCCGTGGACTTCCATTCGAAGTCGCTAGAGATAAAGATCATGAACTCCACAACAGCGCAAAAGACAATCGAAGTAGTGACATCTGTGTTTGCTGCATATGGATTGCCACACAAAATTGCTACAGATAATGTCCCTCAGTTCAGAGTCCAAGAATTTGAGGACTTTCTAAAACCAAACGGTGGGAAACACACGCTAACTCCTCCTTACCACCCACAATCAAATGGGGCGGCAGAAAAATCAGTACAAATGCTGAAGAGGTCACTTCTGCTGCAGGGAGTGACTGACCAAAGGAAAAAACCAGCAAACAACAATACAACAAGTGGTTTGGATACAGTACTCCACACACATTCCCAGGGCAGACACCAGCTGAATCGCTCTTGAGAAGGAAAGTGCGCACGCGGCTATAAATGCTGAAACCATACCTTGCACGAAAAATGAACGCAAAAACAACTCGCATAAAGGAAAGCGCAGACAAACACCGAGGGCGCTCAAGATAGTTTGAAAAGGGGGACCTCGTTTACGTAAGAAGCGTTCGAGGTGAAACCGCTTGTAGGTTTCCCGGAAAGATAATCAACAGAAGGTCAGTAATGACATAGCTAGTGTTTGCTTCGGGGCCAGTAAGATTCTGCCACGTGGACCATTTGCGTAGCCGCCTCGCGCCAGGCAATATTCCATTTCATGGGGACGATATGTAAGCTGCCCACAGACGGATAATGGAAACGAAGCGCCGACGGGGGGCGTTCAGACACGGCGCACTCGGAATCACCTCTCAACGCAGACACTGGAAAAGGGAACGCTCTCGGGCGTAGTGACGCGCACGAGACGTTTTCCTGAACGTCTCAATTACGACACCTTCAATCTTAGGGGGAGGGTGGAATGTTGGGAACACAAAAAGCCGCACACGCATAGGCAACGGCAAAGTGTGTGCGTTAAACAGCGCGAGTGTGAAGTTAGAGACCACATGGCCTCTCCGTGTTTACACTTGTGCGCGGCTCTGAATTAAGTATCATTGCAGCCACCGTGAACCAAAGACTTCTATAGTCACGTTTCCTCCAGGACGCCACTCTCCCCGTGTGTTGTAAACAGAGAGCGCCGTACCGGCCCTCCTCCTCGGAAATGCCGCCTCCATCGGAGCAGTCTGCTCGAGGCTCTATAACTTCATCATCATCATCAGCCTGACTACGTCCACTGCAGGACAAAGGCCTCTCCCATGTTCCGCCAGTTAACCCGGTCCTGTGCTTGCTGCTGCCAATTTATACCCGCAAACTTCTTAATCTCATCTGCCCACCTAACCTTCTGTCTCCCCCTAACCCGCTTCCCTTCTCTGGGAATCCAGTTAGTTACCCTTAATGACCCGCGGTTATCCTGTCTACGCGCTACATGCCCGGCCCATGTCCATTTCCTCTTCTTTATTTCAACTATGATATCCTTAACCCCCGTTTGTCCCCTAATCTACTCTGCTCTCTTCTTGTCTCTTAAGGTTACACCTACCATTTTTCTTTCCATTGCTCGCTGCGTCGTCCTCAATTTAAGCTGAACCCTCTTTGTAAGTCTCCAGGTTTCTGCTCCGTAGCTAAGTACCGGCAAGATACAGCTGTTATATACCTTCCTCTTGAGGGATAGTGGCAATCTACCTGTCATAATTTGAGAGTGCTTGCCGAATGTGCTCCACCCCATTCTTATTCTTCTAGTTACTTCAATCTCGTGGTTGAATCTCACCCCACCAGTAATGATAGAAGAAGTCAGAAAAGCTTTGGAGAGCATGCAAAAGAGGCAAAGCTGCTGGTGAGGATCAGGTAACATCAGACCTGCTGAAAGATGGAGGACAGATTGTGTTAGAAAAACTAGCCACCCTGTTTACGAGGTATCTCCTGACGGGAAGGGTACCAGAGTCTTGGAAGAACGCTAACATCATCTTAATACATAAGAAAGGAGATGACAAGGACTTGAAGAATTACAGGCCGATCAGCTTGCTCTCTGTAATATACAAGCTATTTACAAAGGTAATTGCTAACAGAGTAAAGAAAACATTAGAATTCAATCAACCAAAGGAACAAGCAGGCTTTAGAACAGGCTACTCAACAATTGACCACATTCATACTATCAATCAGGTAATAGAGAAATGCTCAGAGTATAACCAACCACTATACATAGCCTTCATAGATTACGAGAAGGCGTTTGATTCAGTAGAAATATCAGCCGTCATGCAGACACTGCGGAATCAGGGCGTAGATGAAGTATATATAAACATTCTGGAAGAAATCTACAGGGGATCAACTGCTACCATAGTGCTTCATAAAGAAAGCAACAGAATACCAATCAAGAAGGGTGTAAGGCAGGGGGACACAATCTCCCCAATGCTATTTACCACGTGCTTACAGGAGGTTTTCAGAAGCCTAGAATGGGAACAGTTAGGGATAAGAGTTAATGGAGAATACCTTAGTAACTTGCGCTTCGCCGATGACATTGCATTGCTGAGTAACTCAGGGGACGAATTGCAACTCATGATTACGGAGTAAGACAAGGAGAGCAGAAAGGTGGGTCTTAAAATTAATCTGCAGAGAACGAAAGTAATGTACAACAACCTCGGAAAGGAGCAGCGCTTCGAGATAGGTAATAGTGCACTTGAAGTTGTAAAAGACTATGTCTACTTAGGGCAGGTAATAACCGCAGAGCTCTATAACTACGAGCAGGTCAATAAAATTTCTCTTCCGCCCTCTGATCCTGCGTTCTTGATATACAACAATAGTCATCCCTAAAAAGGTCACCTGTACTGTGATAAAGAGTGCTTACCAGCGCAAACAACAGGGCAGGAGGGGACAGGAGAAGAGACGAGACAGAGCGCCTATACTAGCAACGAACTTGGAGCTCAATGTCTGCACTCCTAAAAATATGAAAATCGTGGTTGTGTGGGGAGATCGCCATCAAAGTTCGCAAGGGGACATGTGACTTTATTTCGTATAAAAATTGAACTTTGCCGTTTAGAAATTCCCCAATAGAAAATTTATCTTTCAGAAGATATGTCACACTTTGACAAACGCGGTTTAAGAAATGAGTGTTTACCCTTTTTTTCTTTTATACGTTGGCGGCAAATGTGTGTGCACTCTTGCGTTATATTTTGCGTTTTTTCAAAACACATTTTTTGAAACTTGTGTCAATCATTTTTCTGAGAAAGTAGCAGACGTGCTCATAAAGTAGAAGACGTAACCAAGCAATACTGTTCCATGTGTTAATTAGTGGCATTGACATAACTGGTACTAGAATCAGTGGCGTAGGTGAATTTGCATTTTTGTTGCATAAAAAAACTATTCAGAAAGAGTAATTTCCATACATCGACACCCGCAGGTCCCGGGATCAAATCCCGGCTGCGGCTGCTGCATTTCCGATCGAGGCGGAAATGTTGTAGGCACGTGTGCTCAGATTTGGGTGCACGTTAAAGAACCCCAGGGGGTCCAAATTTTCGGAGTCCTCCACTACGGCGTCTCTCATAATCATATGGTAGTTTCAGGACGTTAAACCCCACTTATCAATCAATCAATCAATCATACATCGACAAACATAAAAAAATACAAATCTAGTTTTTCTGGCACACTCGCAATTTCAGTTTCACTCCCGTAAAGCATTGGTAGCTTCCTTTTTTACGAAATGTCAATTCTCGACAGATAACAAATCTTGTGAACAAACTACATGTGCCGAAATATGCCGACATATATATATATTACTACCAGTGTAGCTTTTCGCCCGTCCAAGGACTCCCTCCCCCGCCCAAGCCAGGGGCGTCACGGCCGCTCTGTGACACGCTTTCACACACTGTTTTGTAAATCATCTCTTGAGTGCCGCGCGCAGGTGTCATGGAGTCACGGTGGCACGGCGACGCGATCGGAAGAAGCGGGTCTTTTGAAACCAAAAACCCGCACTGCTTTTGACTTGTATTCGAAAGTAAAAAAAAAATTTGAATCTATAATTCTGAGCTCTACAAAGCAACCAGCATCTACCTTTAAGGTACCTTGTAAATTTTACAGCAACTGCTTTTATTACGACTTCTGTACAACCAAACATTGAAACTAACTTTCCGATTCTCACACAACCTTACCTTCTACGGCACGAGTCAACGTGTAGATCTATAAAGACGTCGAGGCACGATGCACGTTAGCAACACATGAATGCAACTGCACTTTTTTTTTACAGGGTCTGATTACAGCGCTCACAGGCGTTGCACTTCTGGACTTGGGGGAAATCTACGGAGCCAGCATTTCGAACGTTTCTCACCTCATAACGACCCGCAGCCTTGGAGGCCTGCTTGGCTCTCTGCTAGGTATGCTAAAGCCAGAATTACGTCATATTTCTTACTCTTATTGCACAACAACTATGTTCAGAAGGGAAGCTTGGGGTAGTCGGAGGTAATTCGTCGTTGACAATTAAGCGTCCGAGACATTTTATATCGGTTGTCATCGGGCCTAACCAACATTAAAATGAGCAGTGTGCGCTTTATATGTGCCTTCCCAAAATACAACGTTAACAGCAGTTAATCGTTGTACATTGTTGTGATCTTGCTGCGTATCTGGGCACTTCTCATACCTGGCACTTCATGCGTGATTACACGATGTTTTGCAGTGTTGTTGACCTTTTAAAGCCATTCGTCATTCACAATGAGTGAATAATTGTACAAATGAACATATTGCTACCTCCTTTTTCATACAGTCCCTGTTTTACTACGTGTTTAATAACAGTTAGGGTAGTAACAGTTACTAATTGCTACAACGGCTATAGTAGTAACAGTAGCAACCCTTGCGGTTACTAACAGCAATTAGTAACAGGTTACTGAATAGAGGAAGGGAATTTAGCATGCTCCTTTCTTTAGTTTGACCGAGCCTTAATTAAAACCACCAGGTAATATTGTGCCCTATAGCTTCCTTAGCTTCATTGTCTGCTGGTTCTAAAAAGGTGCTATGAAGGTAGTGACAAGTGACTTCTTGCTACTACCCGATATCAGCAAGTATTTTGCTCCTTTTTAAGACTGTATATATTTACATGCTTTTATTATATTGCACCTTCAGGGGGCATGCTGTACGACACCTACAACACGCAGATCACGTCCATCCTCATGCTGCTGTTGACCAGCGTGACGGTGCTGATGGTTCCACTATGCCCACTCCTGCTTGTGGCTCACTTCATGGCCTTCTTCATGGGTCTCAGCTTGGGTGCGTTCGGCACGGGTAAGCCGTTCCGTGTGTCTCGGCCCTAAACTTCGTGCAGTGCACGATTTGCCATTGTGTATATGGAAAGACCACGCGTGGCACGAGCTGGCCATGCATGTGCTCGTGGCCGTGGTTCCTGAACCTCATACATGAAAATACTCGGAAAGTGCCCTGTGAAAGTTACTTGGTCCACTTGCTCATTATTATTCATGGCGCGAAGTGATGAAGAAGCGATGCAAAGGTGACACACTCACGCGCTGTGTTCGACTAAGTTGCACATCACCACATGACTTGTCGCCGTGTCAACTGGTCTTGGCAGTTCACGCGCTTATTCGGTCATGACGAATAAAGCATATCAGAGTGCTACGCGTTATGTTTATATTACGTCATTCTTAGCGCAGTGACATAAAGATAAAGAGAGAATAAGCAGGGGGAGATGAAATACGCACACTCACTTCGTGTTTGATAAAAACTTGTGTCTAAGTGTCTACGCAACATCGCGGAATCGTGAAATGTGAGATTGGCGCACACACTGGCGTCTGAGCTGGTCGCCTTCTAATTCTCCGCGCCCGTCGGTTGTTCACGTTACAATTAATGTCAACGGTAATTCGCCCTGCGCTAGGCCCTATTAGAAAAAAAAGAACGTTTCAAAGCTCATTCTCGCGAAATTCGAACGCAGGCGCCAACGTCTGGATCATCAACATGTGGCCGGGTAACAGCAGCCCGGCGCTCCACATTTTTCACTTCGCTTTCACCGTCGGCTTGCTAGTGGCTCCTCTCATAGCTGGGCCGTTTCTTTCACCCGGAACCTCTGCCATCGCCGTCGGAACTTCAACCCACTTTCATGACGAAGTCTCCAACCTAGACTACGAATTGGAGCCGTCGCCCAACGCCACCTTCAATGAGTCCTTCCGAGTGGCAACATCCGACGCGGAGACTACCGACTACTACAACTCATACGAGGGCACTACTGTGTACTACGCGTTCGGAATAGCCAGCGCTTTCTATTTGTTCCTCGTTCTGTCGATGACTTCAACGTACTGCATTGACAAATCCGACTTCAAGCGGAAGGCGATGCGAGGAGCGCAGCGCGATGTAAACGGAGCAGACCGGAACGAAAAACCCGAAGGAAACGTTGTCCGCTACAGCCGGATCTCACTGGCCCTTCTGAGCGTCTACGAATGCATCTACGTCGCGCTCGAATGCACGACGTCTCAGATGTTGCCCACCTTTGCAGTCGAGAGCGACTTCTCCAAGCTGGACGCGGCCCGGGTCGCCGCCGTGTATTTTTCTTCTTTGCTGCGAGCCGCCTGGTCGCGGCGATTGTCGCCTTGAAGGTGTCTTCCCGGTTGACGCTTATCTTCACTCACGGTGTGCTCGTGACCACGGCGTTGGTGATGACCGTGTGGCGCTCCGAAAACGCGCTCGTGCTCTGGGTCGGCAGCGCAATGATGGGTTTCGGCCAAGGGCCCGTCAAGGCAGCGATAGTCGCCTGGACTGCAGAGTACATTACCATCAGCAACAAGATGATGTCGGTAGTCATGGTCACGGGCAGCATCGGAAACCTGGCGCCGGCGCTTCTCGTGGGACAGTTCGTAGAAAGTGATGCCGCATCCTTCCTTTACGTGTCTCTGGGAGCCGTGTTGCTTTGTGCGGTCATGTTTCTGGGCATGTACGCTTACATTACCAGAAGGCGCACTTAGAAGCCGCAAGGTGGTCTTGAAATCACTGCAGATTCCAAGAAAGCGGGGGCCGTGCCATTGATCTAATCATTTTGTTGAGCACGTGCTTTCGTTGTACGCAGATCTCCATATTAACTTCATATGCCTCATATGAACTTCGTATCTACTCGTACATTTATAATCTTTGGGCTCTGAAACACAACGCATAAACTTGCCCCTGGAACGTACCTTAAACACGGTTCATGTATTCGGTGTACGCGCAAAATATCTGTTCATTTCTATTCATAGCATGAGCGACAACATTGAACGTAATTAACAAGAGAGGGAGAGAGAGACAGAGATTCGAAGACTGGCAAAGGGGTCAGCCTGAACGATAGTTCGTTCTGGCCTGCTACTTCGCTCAGGTGTAGGAGGACACAAAGCCAAGTATCAGGACAGCCAATTTAGGTCTATATAAAGGAGCAGGGATCAAGCAAGCCATATCTGAACAAGAATTAACTTACTCCACCTCAGGCTCATACACAGAACTTTGGGGGGGGGGGGGTATATGAGGCGGTGGTGGCAAAAAAAAACGTGTATTTATGAAAGTTATATATACAGGGTGGGTGGGGAGTAGTCCTTAATTGAGGGGCCACCCCGTACAAACACTAGGTGGGCGCCCCCTACGGGAGCTTATTGGCGTCGGCCGCGTGCAACGGCTAACCTGTGTGGGCAAACCACAACTACAAACTACAACTACAGCAACGGCTAACGTGGTGGATAAACCAGCGCTGCAGTTTGTCTTTTCTTTCCCGTCCCTGTTTACATCGCACTAATATTCGTTTAAGATGGAAGTGCACCAACTCACCCAATTGTCCCTTCTGATGAGGCTAACTTTGGCAACTGGTGGTCGTTGTGAAGTCGTGTAAGTGTTTTGATATCTCTCCAAAACTTAAAGCACAAAAAGTTTCGGGGGTTGTCGGAAGCAACTGAACTCCCCCCTATGGTTACGGCCCTGCTCCACCCTTGGGCCACGCCGTCAGCTAGATCTATGTGGAGTACGAAAAATGATTGCCGCCAATGTTCAAATTTTCGTAGCTGCATCGGTTCAATCCCGAGACGAGGGTAAATATTTCTTTAATGGCAATACTTTTATTTACAATAAATACACACTATTTTCGTTTGTGAATTCATTTCATTGATATATTCACTGGTAGTGGAGGACATTACACCTGTTACATTTCTTACGAGCTTTATATATTTTGTCTTATAATTCTGGCCCTCTTTCTTCTTTTGTCTCGCACAATCTTTCACAAGTGATCTCACCTTTGACGCGATAGCGTTAAAGAGCTCCTTTCCCAGACATTACGGCGTCGTCGTTGACATCGGCGTTTATTGTTGTGAGCGAAACATCTGCATTGTCCATGAGAGAAAACTTGACACTGTGATGGAAGCGCCGGAAGGGGGAGGGGGGAGAGGAGGCCATCGTGCGTTCAGGGTTCAGGCTGAGAACTCAGTTTCCCGTGTTTGTAATGTTGAGCATATCAAGGCCCAACCGGCTGCCACACCGACACTGATGCAAGAGCGAAATGACTATACCTTCGCCGAAGCGACCTATCAGCAGGATGCTGCTCGCCTACACGACGCCACATGTCAAGCATATCCACAGGACGGTCGCCGACCCACGAACCATGCTCCTTCGCTGCTGTGGAATGTGAGTTAAAGAACGATTGAGTGATAACCCGTTTTGTTTCGCTATCTCGGTTTGCGAACGCCTGTGGTTCAAGTGTGATTTGTGCGATGCTGCGGTGCGTGTGATGTGGTGTCTCCGAGTAATGTATCCCGGTCGCGAGTCGTTGGGTGTAGTGGTACAGAAGATGTTCTACCAGGTGTCAATATGGGTGCATCAACATCTAAGGGTGCTGTAGCCACTAACTACCGATAGACGTTTATATATAAACGTGTAATAAACACAGAACTATACATAGGTTAAGACACGTTTCAGTTCAGTTTTTTATACCAGTTCTATACCAGAGGGATCAACCACATTTTTTCACAACCTTCTAGCTCTTGTGTCGTAAATAGTGCTATATTAAGTTAATGCATTGTCATTATTGACTATGTGCGATGTAAGAATTGTTCAACGATTTCTAGTACTTTGGACTCAACTATGAGAGAGCAGTGAGCCGTTCCTTATGAAGTTGGCCAAAAGCCATTGCGAACTAAGACGTGCTGTGTGTGCTAGAATAAATGTTTAACGATTTTGAGTATTTCATACCCCTATGACGAACGGTGTGAGGGCTCGTCTATGATGTATTCTATGTTTAGAAAAAGTTGTTAACGATTTGGACTGAGCCTGGTGCGTGACCCAGTCGCGTCCTGAAGGACCAAATAAAGGTTTTGACTACATAGTAGTCTGTGCGTTCAGAAACAGTTGTCAACGATTTCGAGTACTTGAATTCGTACTCTACTTTTTAAAATATTTACAGACATTTTTTTTATTTTTAAATATTTTTAAAATATTTACAGACAATGACGCGTATTTCACCATCGGGGTTCTCTAACTGGAGTTAATTTATAAGCCTCGTTCTTTCGAAAGTATTAGAATGTCATGGCGTTAGTTTTTTACGCAAGCGATGTTGGCTTTGAAACATTATTGTCCACGTCATCCTGTCACGTCGACAAAGTCATACACCTTTGTGCATACTTTTACGCCGTATCTATTTTTTTTCACGCATAAACACTGCATTGATCAAGTAAATCGGTTTGCTGTAAACTGTTCTTACCTGTGTCTTTTGTCAGCAGACGCCATCCACCAGAGCCACCATGACCATGAAGAACGTTTTTCGAAACATTGGCGGAGTGAAATCAATTCTCGCTCATCAAAAAATGGCGGCTGCAGCCACTGTTTTATAGGGGCACAATAACCTCTCTGCGTTCAACGAAGAAACCGGATCATTCGCCTCGCCCACCCGATGAGACATGTAGTGTTCGAAAGTGTCTTTGTGTTACTTGTTTTTTATTATTATTATGCCTCACATTATTTGCGAATTTTGTTGGAGATTAAGTCACCAGTGCTCGTCTAGATGTGTTATTTTGTTGAGAGCAACCATCTTATTTTATATTTAAAGTGTAATATACACTGATAGATCAGAGCCTGTCCGATCTCTAAGGGGGCACTACCGGAAAAGAGCATCTTTCCGAGCGTTTGGAGGGCAAAAGCTGGCTTCACTTTTGCTGGCAAAGCATTGCGATGGTTTCAACACCATGAGAGAGAGAGAGAAGCAGCGTTATTTAAAAAGTCCATGAATTTTTCAGATATCAGTGAATATCTCCAGCAATTTTTTAACCTCCTTGATACATCTCTGTTGTAGAAGACAATATGCGCCTAAGTTATTGTTACGGGCGAAATCGCAACCAATACTTGTTGCTCATTGTGTCACCAAATCATGCCACTCAGTTCACTACTGAAGTGCGTCGCTTTCGTAACGCAACCAAACGTGTGACGCGAGCTGCGACAGCAAAACGACGTACATACATCTCTAGAACCCCCATGCAACGCTAACAGCAGACTGAAGATAGGTGGAGTGAAATGAAATAGAATGAACTGTGGTGCGATGCCGATGCGAATTGGGTTGAAATAGAATGAATTGGATTGGATTAATGGATAGGATGGAATGGAGTGGAATGGCATGGAATGGAATTGATGGAATGGATGGGTGGAATGGATGCAATGGGTGGGTGGGTGGGTGGGTGGGTGGGTGAATGGAATGGGTGATAGAGAGGGTATCGAATGGGATGGGATGGAATGGAATGGGAGTGATGGATGAGAGGAATGGAATGGAATAGAATTAGCGTCCCCTTTTAGGGGTGAAGCACCTTAGAGTCTCGGCTTGTCGGTGTGTCACATAGGTCATCGCGGCCCATCATAAACGGGTATTAGCCACAAAATGGGTTAAATTCCACTACTCGCCATTATGCTGCCTAACACGTTATGTGTGGCTTTGGAGCGGCGTCAAAACTTCCGACGAAGTTTACAAAGACGCTCATGCTTCTTATCTAAACGCAGAGCCGTCAATGTGGATATATACGTTAAGATCATCTGTTTGAAACATATCTGCTACGTAATGGTGCTTTGCTCGCCGCTAGTCCACGCAAAATTCGGCACATAATTCGTGTCGTTGAATTGAATAATAGACAAAGCCTGTATCACGACGTTTGCCATGTGGCACTTTGAAAATTAGCTCCACATATACAAGGCGCATTGATGAACTGCTCAGTAAACATATGTAGATATTTTATACGAACTGACGTTAAGCGCTGTTCCCCAAACTGCGGCTCACCTTCCATCCATCTGTGTAAGACAGTCGTGCTATATAGTTTCCGTTGCAACGCTAAGTACTTTTTTTCGCTGCTGACGCAGATACTATATAAAATTAAAAAGTTCGTAGCCGCCACTTGAAACATTACGCGTGACAGAAAGTGATGTCGAAATTTTTGCGCAAATGGTGCAGGAAGTCAACGTTCTTTGTCCAAAAACCAGCGGCACTAACGTGTGTTCGTAAAATGAACACCAACCTGAAATAGAGGAACGGCATTTAACGTTTTAGAAATGAATCGTGATTGAATGTGATCGGCCTAATTTTTGTAAACTTGGTCGTGTCAAGTGTGAGGCCCACGGGACGATTTCATGCACTCCCATAGCAGTGTACTGAGTGCTCTAAACAGCTAATTACTATTTCTAAGCACACCTATGCAAATTTTGGGTGGAGAAGAATTATGGTCGTAGGCAGAGCTGACATTTATTTTGAATGCGAAGCATTTCTTAGCAAACTTCGGCGACTTTGAGCGTATCTATCTATCTATCTATCTATCTATCTATCTATCTATCTATCTATCTATCTATCTATCTATCTATCTATCTATCTATCTGTCTGTCTATCTATCCGCCTACAACATTTAGCTCTCCTGGTCGTTCCGATAATGGTATCGATACGAAACTTGGTATGGCATAACGTGACTGTATGACGAGCATAAGTGACTAGTCATAACATGAGAATCAGGACAATCATGTCATGAATGTCATGAT